GGAACACAATTTTTAAAAAATCTTATTTTGTGACACTAAGAATACTTAACATGAAATCTGCCCTCAATAAATTTTTAAGTGTACAGTGTGGTATTGTTAACATAGGTAGAACTTGTCAACTTACATAGTAAGAGAGTGAGTGATGGTTGTGAGGGATTGGGGAGAGAGGGCAACAGGGAATTGCTAGTCAATGGGCATAAATTTTCAGTAGTGTGCAATGAACACGTTTTATGCCCATTGACTAGCATTACTATGTGAGTCTGACAAGTTCAGATACCTCATGGCAGTGGAATCGTGCAGTTTGTTCTCTATACCTGGCCTACTCCCTTCAGCTTGGTGCTCTGGAGGTTCATCCTTGTCATGCATTATGGAATTTCCCTCTTTTTGTTTTAAGGCTGGATAATATTCCATTGCATGTGGATACCACATTTCCTTATCCATTCATTTGTTGATGGACATTCAGGTTGTTTCTGTATCTTGGTTATTGTCAATAGCGCTGCAATGAACATGTGAGTACCAAGACCTCTCAAGATCTTAATTTCAATTCTTATGGATAAGTACCCAGGAGTGGGATTGCCAGGTGATTTGGCAGTCCTGTTATTAATTTTTTGTTATACTATTTTTCATGGTGGTTGCACTATTTTGCATTTCTGCCAAAAGGTTTACAAGAGGTCTGATTTTTCCACATCCTCACTAACACTTGTTGCCTTTGGTCTTTTGATAATAACCGTCCTGACGGGTTTTGTTTTGCATGTCCCTGATAATTAGTAACATTGACCTCTTTTCAAATACCTGTTGGCCAATAGTATTTCTTATCTGGATAAAGGTTTATTTAAGTTTTTAGCACATTTTGAAATCAGATTATTAACTTTTTGTTATTGATCTGTGGGATTTCCTTACATGTGTATATTTTAGAATCTAACCTCTTCTTTGATACATGGTTTGCTGATATTCTCTCCTTTTTATAGACTGCTTTTCACTCTGTTGATAGTTTCCTTTTACTATGTGGAGTTAAACTCAGTTTGTTAGTATTTTGTGAGTATTTTTGAATTGATATTAATCCAGGATATTGGGCTGTAGTATTTTTTTCTTGCAGTGCCTTTGTTTGGGTTTGCTATCTGGGTAATACTGGCCTCATCAAATAAGTTCGAAAGTGTTTCCTCCTATTGATTTTTTTGGGAAGAGTTTGAGAAGAACTGGCATTAATTTTTCTTTGGATATTTAGTAGAATTCACTAGTGAAGTTGGCAGGTCCTAGGCTTTTCTTTGTGGCACGTTCTTTTTTTTTTTTTTTTTTTTGTTTCGGAGCCTCAAGCTATCTGTTTATAGTGATAGTTGTGTTTCTT